ACCCACCAACACCCCACCCACCCACACTCACATCCATATCCGCACCCCACACCCACCCACACCCACACCCACACCCACCCACACCCTCGGAGTCCACAAATATTAATGAAACAACAGGGGTTACATAGTAGGATTCTAGTTGAAGAAGAAAAAGCTAACTTAGAGCAATAAGTATATGATGAGTTCTGGTAGATTCCGATGGATTTTGACTAATACAGTGGTAATCAGAATCTGTAGTCATCCGGTGGGATCTACTAGGATTCGGATCACTTTCCTTATCTTCAAATTATAATGTTGAAATTATAGTGTAGTTTGATAGACAACAATGAATTCGAATACTTTTTAGCGAATTTCATCAAACTTTGGTAAATCTTCTTGACTTTGCATAGCTTTCAACACACTCTGATACAGTCCGATGAATACGTTTTAGGATCAATTAGAATTTATTACGAGCCGTCAGGTTCTGAAGACTGAAGGTCTATGTTTTCTCGGTTTGTTTATGATGAACATGTTTCGAAATATTGTTAAATAAGAAAGACCAATACTCTATAAAATGCGTCATTCACCCACATCCTCTATTGTGTTCTAAAGTGATAGCTGAAAAAGAATGAGAAAGAGAAAAGAGAAGAGAAGAAACACGCAAGCAAGAATATATTTGTACATATAGATGGCGGATCACTTGGATATTTTCCAAGAAAGAAAAACAAGTATAGAATTACCGAAAAAGAAGGAATATTTGCCAGTATAAAAGAAGATAAGTGAAATGTATGATCACACTAAGCATTTAAGTGCACTAAGCTTAACACATTCTCCTCTTATTACCGTATGTTTTATTCTAACAATGTGCATAGATATATATCAAATCTTTCTTTTTTTTAGATGCATCGAAACCAATAGTTTTTGACAACAGTTGCGACTCGTGCATCTGTACGTAAATAAATGAAATATATCTAGTCTCTTTTTATAAAACTTTTTGTATTCAGACTGACATTCAACCACGATTTATTGATATTATTAATGTGTTATGGGTTTACACATTAGGCTTTTATTTGCCGACGGTCATCATTTTATTCAAGATGTTATTATAGCTGGTATTGCCACATTTAATCAAGGTCGAAATTTTTGGTCAGCAATGTTAATCTTGTTAACGGGTTTTATCATGGGGTTTATTCATACACGACCTACTGTTATATTATCGTAAGCTATTTAAATTCTTAATATTTCATTTTATTCTGATACATATAGTGATGTCCACAGAAGTGATAAATCCTGCTGGTGTATTAACAATTATTAGAAGATACCTAACCAATAGGTCATCAAGAAAATCAATGATGCGGTAAATATATTTCTTTTACATTTGCTTTTTTCTTGAATTCTTTTTTTTTGTAGAATTCGTAAAAGAATTACAAATGAGGAATTATTCGATGTTCATGGTGTGATGATAGTATAATTAATGTGTTTTTGTATAATAATAATATTTTTTGGTTTTTCTCTTTATGTAAGATTATATTTTAATCCGAGCTCCTTCATTATATTCCAATTTAGGTGTATCCAAATTATTTACAGCGACGTGCTGCATCACGTGAACTAAGATGAAAAGTTTCGAAATTAAGAAGAATAACATATTTTGCAGGTTATCACTGAGAAATGTGCACTATTTGTCAACAAGAATTTGTTATTGGTAATCGATTATACATATTCCCATGTAGTCATAGTTGGTTTCTTAACTATGATATTACATATTCTTTTCTTACCAATCGATATGATTTCTTTCGGCTTTTCATATGGACTGCGCTAATGGTCCGCTATTTGCTGATGACTATAAATATGCTCTATGTCGATGTAAGATATTTTTGACTCCTTATGCACCGGATGAAGAAAGTTATGGTGTTACAACTACAGGACAAACATCATTATTACAATCAACTGATGACGATGATAATTCAGTCATAGATTCCATGAGAGATCATCAAATAGGTAATTTTGAACGTACATACTCTTGCGTTTAATCAATATTTCAATTTTAGAACGTCGAATAACTCATTAGGTACTAGAGTTTCTGATTATACTCACCCTATTAGTGAACCATCTGGCTCTACTGATAGTGAAAATGTATCCATATTATCAAGACGGTCAACAGTAAATGGTATAGCTACGACTGATCTTGTATTCGATCAACCACAAACAAATTCTCAACGTTATCCTTATCCACAAGTACCACATATTGTTTTACGTCAATCAAGTTCTGAAGAAAAAGATAATAATATAACAACAAGTACATCATATGGAAGTTTTCATGATTCTCCATCAGGATCATTTACAACACCTCATGCTGCTAATTTTCTTGATGGTTCACTCGATGGTACAAGTGATGATACAAATATAGCAGCACGTTTTGTTATAGAAGGTGTTAGCGACATGAAAACAGATGATAATGGTGAACCAATATATTCAGCATTGCCTGATGGAAGCAAGCAAGCAAATATTCCTAATGGGACAACAACAGATTAATATACTTCAAATGAACTTGCAAAATTTTCTTTCATGTTCATTTTCTTGGCTTGCCTTTTCAGATCCATAAAAGTGTATGTCTTTTTTTCTGATTTCTCTAAACTAGTCAAACGGTGTCTCATTTTATTTTTATACTTTTTTCTGTAGTTATTTTTGTAACTTTGTTTCCATGTGATTATATGGTAAATAAGACAAAATAAAAGAAAATGAAAAATTTGTTATTTGATTTAATTGCATAAAGAGAATGTTATAATGGTGCGTCACTCATTCATCGTTCTATTGGTGAACTTAATTAACAATAAAGAGGTACTTGAAGCCTTGGACTATGATTTAATAACAAGTTTGGTTGTGAACCGATCATTGCAGATGATGCTTTACTGCAGATCAAGAGATAGAGACAGCGTAGTAATTGCTCTATTCATAAATACTAACACCAACAAGACTTTGATTCTTAAATAGAATTTTCTGTTCAATACATCTAATGAGTTATTGATCGGTTGAAGAAAATAAGATGACCCTCAATGTGAAGTAAGAGTGAATAAGTGGACTGTGAACAAGAGAGGCTGTGTAGTAAATTGTCATATAATGAAAATGTCGTTTTCTTACCTTGAGCTCGTTGAATATTTTCATGAGTAGCATGAACTGTATCATAATCTTTTAGATGGAAATAGAAAAGGTTATTAAGAATCAATTTTCTTTTGTAATTTTTGTGTAATTGATTTAACTCGATCGATTTTTTCTGGTCGACTACTACTACTTCCTGATGAAGATGAAATGAATGTATTTGTTCGATTAGAATCTAAAGTTATTGTACTGGATGATTGTGATTGTACTTTAGAAGTAGTATTATTATAATCTGCATTAAGTAAATTACGATGAAGTAATTGTTGTTCAAGTTAAAGCATATGAGGACAATGACCTTCAATAAGTGTATATGCGCGAAGACGATCTAATAATTTCTGAGCAGTACATGACAAATCACATCGGTATATCTGCACAAATACTCAAGGTTGGAGAGAAATAGAATATCAGAAAATGTGTTATACAGATGTCGAATTATTCAAGTCTTGACAAGTCTCACTTAGTGATAATGAATAATTCTCAAGTACTGACGAGTATCTACCCACTTTTGTGGCCTCTACAAAGAGTGTGTTATCAAAAATTTTTATTGGTATTGATATAATAGTTGTATATCAAAACAGAGACAACGTTTATTTGTCGATAAATACTATGAGGTTATTCTTTTATGATTATCAAAGCAATAGGTTCAAGCACACCAAGTATGGTTTTTGAAGAAAGGATTTTTGATGAATCTATATCTAGTAAATCAGGCAATAGAAATCTACGAGAAGCATTATAACCTAATTGTTCGAATAAATCCTGAATAGCATAAATAAGAGAACGATGGAGTACTTGAAATAGTCAATGAATAGAAAAGTCGAGAGATAATAAGAATATAGAAAATATCGTAACAAGAAATTATGAAAGTTGTAATATTTTAACACGGGCTCGAGCAGCTAATAAACGAAGTGACCAAATATGACCAGTATTAACAGTGGGGGGGGGGGGGGGGGGGGTGTCGGTGTGTTTGTGATTTATCGTTTCATCCACATCATACCCAGCCCACACACACCTGCATGGACACCCCCACCCACACCCACAACGTTTCCAATTTTTATAGGCAATATTAGAGATGATTTCTAACTTTATTTCGGCTATACTAATTTCAACGCGCTGTATCTCATGAATAGCACATTGTACAGAAAGCCGCCAAGTCTCACTCGATATAACAAACTCTGCTCTACAAAATAATCTACTTTTCAGAGTTTCGAAGCTTCCTCTTCGAGATCAGTTTTCTCAATTATTAACAGCGTCAATTAATTTCTAAACGAATGCTTAATAAATCTCATTAAGATCTGTTGTCTTAAAAACAAAAAATATACAGTTTTGTTTAGTTTTCAGTGTTTCTGCTTATGGTCTACTTAAAAATCGAAAAATACGACAACAGTTTTTAAATTATTAATTAATAATAATTAATATTTAGTTATTATAACTAATTGATTTTCAGAAATATTTTATACCAAAATATGGCCCGTTCAATAGTGAATCTAATGATATAGTTTTGAAACTTTTTTTCACTAGACAAAAACAGTTTCTTTCATAACAACTGAATCAGTTAATCGTTAATGTATTTGATATAATAGATTTATAACCCTTTCCGAGAGCTAACAAAATCACTATTTGAATGCCCATAAAAAGCAATTTTGATGGAGAAAAACCAAAAAACCAAGAATGCCTTAAAGCTTTTTCATGTAATAATCCACTGATGAAAATCATACTAACATGTATTAATTTATATTTGATTATTTCTTTAGAGCTTATATATTATTCACTTCCACAATAAGAAAAAATAAAAATTACAAGATCAAAACGGTGACTATAAATGAATAGATGTGCACAACTTTGACACTGCCTTTTTCGAATTTTTTACTGCTGTTTAAATAATTGTTTTGTAATATCTATTTTGATTTTATTTATGCTTGTATTTAGATAAAGGAACTTAAATAATCGTTGTATAAATATTCGATAGTTGTTTATTTAAATGGTCGACACAAATCATCAACTGAGGATGAGTGAATCTATTGATGGTCAATATGAAGAATTTATATTCAATGTGTAGACTTGAACAAAAATTTTATTTTGATAAAAAAAAAATTAGTTTACATTGATAATTATTTCCAACATTCATTCATTTCTGCTAGAATAGAAAATGACACTTTAATTGAATAAATCCTTCAAATAATGTATTTTCATCATTTAAAAGACATTCGTGTGATGATGTAACTGTTCAATTTGGATTTGTTTTCATTTGTCAAGCACGATGAGGAAAAAATTTGCTCAGTACTAAAACCATGGTTATATTTTTTCTGCTGGAGCATATTTATTTGTGTAATAAACACTAAAATAGTTGCGTTTGACACAAAAATATTTTTATTAACCTATCCTTGACCTAGAATGTAAATTTCTTTTTTCTGTTCTTTATAGATCTTTCTCAAGAAGTTTTTGAAGTGGAAGATAATGCAGCTGTATCAAATGCTAATATATTTATTTGTTGTATAAACATAATCTCATTTGAATATATATGATATGATTAGATCAAACTGTAAATGATCGTATTGTATAGAATGAGAATCATCTTTCAATGTTAAATTTGAACAAATAAAATCTTGGCTCACCGATTTTGTTTTTCTTCAATTATGATTTATCTCTTCGAATTAATTCTCTATTTTAGATAAAAAAATTATCCGATGATAATCAATGTGAGTTTTATTTTATTATATTAAGAATATTATCTGTAATATTATATTTTCAATTGATCATTGTAGATCTGGTGTTTACAAGAAAAGTTTTCATCATTTTTATGGTTATGTTTTTTTTTGGTAAAAACTATAAAGCATGAAAAATTTTCAAGTACATGATACGTTAATGTTTTCTTGTATAAACAGTAGTTATCAATTCTATGGTTTAAGATGCATATATAATAATATATATTTTAATATGATTTCAATAAATTATTTTATTGAAAAGATGATATTAAAAATCTTATCTTAGCTGAATCGCAAGAAAATATTTTTTCGTATTATGATAATTATGTAGAAAGTTTGTTATCTTTTTACATCTAAAACTTTTTTGATTTAAATTTTTTTGTTGTTTTGTTTTGTTTAGAAGAAATTGTCATGTCGGAGATAAGTCTCAATACTGATGCAATATCAAGTTTGCTAAGATTTTTCATATTGATTATTTTTTTAAAAATATAAACTAAATAATATAATTAGATCAATCATTATAATGTATTGAAAAAATTCTTTACAAAAAAAATAATTTTTTTTGTTTTTTAATTTATATATTGATGCATCATTTGATCAAATCTTACAAACAGAACAAAAGGCTTTTGATAAAAATAAAGTTAATCACTAAAAAGTTCTAGATTCTGTTTCTTCAATAATAATGGATTTTCAAAATAAGCCAAATCCAAAGGATGTTAAAAAGATCATTTGAAGAAGACGTTTTATAAAGAAAAAGAAAAGATATCATTAAAAAATAATTCTCTTTTAAATTGTTCGCATTCGTAAAAGTTATTTTTTTGTTTCGATGAAATGTCAATATGAATTGAACGAAGTTTAAATATTCTTGGATTATCATAGGATTTTTCTTTTCGTCACTATACAAGTAATATTATATATTGTTCAATTGCTCAATTTATTTATTCTAGTTTTCTCAAATATGTTTGTTTTTTGAAAAAAAGCAAATTATTAATAGATTATGATTTTAATTTCTAATATCTGTTCACTTTATTTTATTTATTTATTTATTTTTTTTTTTCTATTCGAAAAATATATAAAATTTCTTGATCTATATTGGTCAATAAAGTAATTTTCAATATGTAGTGACTTGATTAGACATATGATGTCTTATTTATATATTGACATGTCGATGAAGGGTATTATCAAATATAGTTGTAATGATCATATTACAGATTGTCAATTTTTTTAAAGTAATTTGATCGTATAAATCTTATCAGTAATGAAAATACTCTGTCTGAAAGTTTGTTTTACATTGAATTTTCGATTTGTATTTTTTCTCTTTCATATTCATTGTAAAACAAAACCGATTAAACAAATTCATATAAAATAAATAGTTTTGCATTCGATTATTTCTATCCTTATGTATTTTCAAATGATTTCTGTACGAAAAACTATTCGTAGTATGATATTATAATAGAAACAGTAATTATTTCAGTAAATATATATTCCTATTTTCATCAAAAAATTCTCCAATATGCTACGATCAAAATAAGAGAAAAAAATAAAATTGATTTAGGATAATATTGTGCTTTTTCGTATCTCGACTTTCGATATCATCATTTATTGATGAAAACCAAAAATTCTTCTTTTTTGCTGAAATTATCAATGAAGAACTTTTCAAATATTTTCATATCT